GTCCAGTTTTGCTTCCGACATGCTAACGTTATTAGCATTAGCCAGGCGGGAATGACAGGTCGCACAGTTTTCCACGATCGGAATAAAACGATCAGATTAAGTGTTTACATGCGCATCGTTCAGATTATGAATCGGCATGAACCACCCGTCTCATTCGGATCGAGCCGACTCAATGAAGAATAATCCGAATGGGCCGTTTAATCCGATTACTTATGTCCGTGTAAACAAAGCTACTGAGGATCTTCAAGGCCAAAGCAAATACTTTACAGAGGGATGCAGCGAGATGAAGCCTGCTGGTCTTCAAAAGTAGGGTTTTCCTCCAGCTTTTGGTTTTAGATTTTCTTTTTATGTGTGCGTGTTAAAATAAATGATTTATTTTACTTTGTTGTTACGTTGAATGTTTCCGTTCAGTGCCCCGAGACGACTTCTGTTGGGATTTGGTGCCATTTACCGTATTTTTCGGACTAAAAGGCGCACCGGATTATAACGTGCATTAAGCGAAACAGAACAGATAAGTCAAACTTTATTCAACTCATTCACAATAACCACATAAAATCAGTTCGAGGTCGGTACGCACAACCAGAATTAATACGTAAGGTGCACCGGATTATAATGTGGTGAACGAAATGATGGACACAGGATGTAACTGGGACCCTGTGTTCATAATTTCATTCCACAATAAAGAAACTTCAACTCTGATAAGGCTCACTGTCGATTTTTCAGAAAAATTAAAGGATTAAGTTCGCCTTATAGTCTGAAAAATATGGTAAACAAACTGAATTGGGGTACTCGTCACGTGATCTGGCCTCTTAATAATTAAAACATCAATACGAACAGGGGGAGCAACAAAAACGGACTAATCTGATTAATCTTTGTGAAAAGACTTGCAGATGACGAGAACGTGAACGTGTCCAGAAGCGACACCTTGTAGTTTGTAGATCAGGGGGTGCCCAACACGTCGAAAGGAATCGGTCAAGATACTAACTAGCATTTTAAAGCGACAGTACTGTGGAAACTACAGTGTTTTTCATGTAAACCTGCTGTAAAGGATAGGGTCAAAATATTAGACTTTATCAATAATCAGTCTCATAAAATTATAATCAAAATTAGTTATTTTACAGGAGTAAAATCCTTTTTTACACTGAAAGACACAAACCCTGGATTGAGCTGAACACCACTTCTGTAACGCTTAATTTGAATATAGTAATTATTCTAACCATACAAACCTTTGAATATTGAGCAGGTAAAATACATTACTATAGCTACATTACCCAGAAGCCAACAGTGCTTCCACCCGCAGCTTTCTGACAAAATGGGAGGGAAAGTTTTGATCCGATCCGAACCGGATTAAAAAGTCTGATCCTTGTTCAAAGTGACTTCAGCGCTCAGTGGGTGCAGAGAGATGACCAGAACCGGACCAAGGCTGGTTAGTACCCATATAAAATTTTGCAGTAGCTACTGTGCGGTACATTTAGGCATGTTGTGAAAATTACGTAGGTTTAAGAGTTATAAGGAAAGGGTATATAAAGCATTAAAACAGGGCTATTTAACTAAACTGCTCAGGGGGCCACAGTTACTGAAAACCAAGAGCTCAGGGGCCGGACATCCAGCAGTTATTGTCCTTAGGTACGTTTGTTTTACGGTTTAAAATGTAGTTTTATTTCAAATTAACCCAATGGTGGGCCGAACTGAGCTCACCCATGGACCTGATTTGGCTCCTGGGGCACCAGTTGAATAGCCCTGCCTTAAAATTTATAAATACTAAAATAAATATAGCGTTCCCACTTTGCAGTTTTTCCCTTTTCACAATAAATCGAGGGACTACTGTACATTCATCGATAGCTTTTGTGTTTTTTACGTTTGTTCATTGGTTTATGAGCTACTCTGCTAACAGCGCAGACTAAAACATGCACAGACACGGGCCACACTGCTCTGCCTTTGTGTAATAAATATTAGTAAAAAAAACGCCGATACTGGTTAAAAACCAGATGAATCACCGTAGGAACTGGAAAGTATTGTTTAAGCATCAGTAAAATCCAGACAAGAGTAAAGATATTCTCCACAGACCTTGTTGTCTTTGATATAAAGTGCTAACATCTCCTCTCGGCCGTAGCGATACTCGGCCAGCTTGTACTTTGGCATGGCGGGGGAAGGAGGGGGAGACGTCACACTCCCCCCACTGGACAGTGCACGAAGCCTGAATGAAGAAGAGCACAGAAAGTTTTAGGAACGGCAAGGATTACTACCACGTTTTTAAACATGTATCATAAAATAAAATTTAAAAAATCCCAGAAACAACTTGTCCAAGAACAAAAACGCTCCAAGCTCCCGTCGGTTTTAAATTCCTTTTAATCTTCATCGCAGAATAAAATGATCACATCCATCTTGCAGCAAAGAAAATAAAAAACTAATTTGAAGTAAATCAACCGTTTTTCAACACAGCTCGACCTGAACACACTGGGCCCAACAAAGATGATATAGTAGCGTTCCAATCTCAAGATTTCATTTTAATAAGCCATTGCTGGGCGGGCGGCTTCCAAAGCTCTGCCGCTTAACAATGGCTCCATTCACAAGCCTCTACACAGTGTGGCATTGATTAACAGCCTCGCATCAAAACCATATGCAGCTCGGAGATGTGGAGGTGGGCGAGGAATGTAAAAGGTAAAGGAAAACATCCAGAAGGACCAGTTGGTGGTATTAAACATAGAAAGGAAGTTTTAATAAGTAGAGCAGAGAGTCATCTGCATAATGAAAGAGCTGAGGTAGTGAGTAAACATTTTCCAGACACTAATCTGTATGATCAGTCTTCTCCTTTGCTCCTATAAACCCCAACTGTACTGAACTGCCAGGTTGTTCTCACTTCGACTTCCACCACCACGACCAACAAAGCCTCAAATAGTTTTGTAAAGCCAACGTGCAGAAAAAGGCTTGTAAACATTCGAGCCAGGCAGCTGTTCGTGGCGAGGCCGTGAAGTGGCTCTGTAGTTTTTAGTAAAAGTGGCGCAGGCAGAGGAAAGCGGCTGCAGATGTGTAAAGAGGGAAAGATTCTGGCGGAGGACCAAGAATGTGCACAGAAGTCACAGGCCGATACAGATGGAGCGCTACCAAGTTGGAGCCTACGCCCCCTCTTATAATGGCTGCACAAATATCCACTGAAGAAGAAGAAAGCATGAAGCTCAGAGGTGGACAGGAATCTGCCAGTATTTGAACTTCAGACGAAAAAGACAACAGACTAAAAACTAAACTTCACAGTCAAACCCTCTGAACTTGATATGACCGTTCTGAGCAGAGAGCCATGCTGATGGTTAAAGTAACCCAATAACTCAGTGATGTCAACTAAGAATGGGCATTTCAAGCAGAAACACTACCCCAAAAATACCAGTAGTTATTAATTATTTTGATGATTATGTGACTCAACTGTGGCTGTAGTTTCCACTGTTTGTTTTCCAAAAAGCAAACTAAAAAAAAAAAAGCAATGGCAGAAGCAGATGTAGAATTCACTTTTTTCAGGAGCAGAAAAAAAAGCACCAGTGCCCTAAAAAGCAACAAACCGGTTGATGTTTTTCCATCAATATGTAGTTCAATTCAATTCATTTGTTTATACAGTGCAGTCACAACAGCTGTTGGCTCAGGGAACTGAACAGTAACAATCACATACATTATAAAAGCCAATTACCGTATTTTCCACCGTACCCGTCGCATCACCCTATAAGTCGCATCCGTCCAAATATGTCTAATAAAGTGGAAAAATGTACACAGTGTCTGCAGCAGCTAGCTATAGCACTCCTAGAGCAGCCGGGAGAACATCCTGCAGCAATATTAATATTTCGGACAAAAAAAAACTAACAAAAAAACAAATGCTAGCCTGACAGTAAAGTTTTTTTTTAAGTGTTTATATAAACAAGTATGAATCTTTTGATTGGGGGTAATTTTTGAAAGACAAAGTTCCTTTTGATCTTAGGCCCACTTGGTCAAGCTGTTCGCTCATCAATCCAACCACAACTAAACTACAGGTATGACTCAACTAACAAACCAGCCACATTGTATGGTCCAATTGATTAATTTTTTTTTATGTTTTGTCAAGTATTGTAATTTATTGTGTGACGAAAAATCTCAGTTTGTAAGTGAAGACAATTCTTCAACTTCAACTTAAAAAATATTAAAAAGTATCAGGGCCGAGATAACGTCCTGGTTGGATCACGCAAAACAAAGGTAAAGGTATGTCGCAGCAATGAAACGGGGATTGGTACCATTTATGTTGCGTTGTGTTTAACTCAAAAGTCAGAACTCGAATATAGAATAGAACTTTATTGTCACTGCACTCGAGTACAACGAAATTTGGGAAAATGGAATATGGTAATTATGTCGGACCCAACCTGTGTTCCAGTTGTACTAAAGAAAATTTTTTTTTTTTAAATTTAAAAAAAAAAAAAAAAAAAAACAGAATTGGCTTATTGTGTGCTCAGTGACCAGTCAAACAACCAAAAACAACAATAATAATAATAAAACAACAATGGATTTCTCCACATTCTGCGCAGTCAAACCGTACCAAGACGTTCAGTGAAAGTGGCTGAACAGCACTGTGTACGAGTGACTGGAGAAATGAGAAACAAAGTGGCAGCAGAAAAAGATAAAAGGGGTATTATTACAGTTCACTCAACCTTTCACGAGCAATTCAGCCATTTTGGATTTTGAGGTCGGGGCTGGTCAGGTATCTCCAACTTTGGGAACATCTCAGACTTGCAACTCAGAAACTCCAACTCTGTCGATGTCATTGAATGAATTCTAATTTTTTTCATTGCCTATTTTTAAAGTGGGCCTTCATCTGGACAGACTATTTTAGATAAGAATCATTAACTGACCCAACAACTTTACTTCAATGAGGAATTGGTCAATAAGAAAAAAAAGAAGAAGAGCATGCAGACTTAATTTTTCATTGAAATTAGATCCTAATATCAGCCAAACAACTCTAATGTAGCTAAATGTCTCCAAACCATGCAATATAAATTTCCCTCAATATTCAAGAACCATCTGAATGTAAGAAAATACAACAATTTACCATTCTGGGCCGAAGTTAAGAGTCTCAGCAGTCATATTCCTCACGTCCACACAGAACTGAGTATCTGGGAAAGAAAAACACAATGGAATTTATTTTCTGTACTCATGAAACGAGCAATAAATGTTCCTGGAACTGTCTTACCCTGTCCAGATGATCGGAGCAGGCTGAACTGGGCTGGACCAGGCTAGAGCTGGCTGGCTTTAGTTAGGCTTAGGTGACTAGAAGGCTGAGTGGTGCTTAAGCTGTGGTCACAGAGCTCCCCAAACACAGACAAAAAGGAAATAGCTGCCAGTTTCAGGTGTTTGAGGAATGCCAGGTTATCAGGTCCTAACTAGGTAAGGAAGGGGTTCTGATGATAGTTTTGGAGAATGGAAGCTCCTGCTACTCACAGCTGAAAAAAAGTTGTAAAACATAAAAAAAGAAACAAACAAAAAAACGGACCTCAAAAAAACAAACAGTGGAAGAAAAATAAAATGCTCTTGAAGTAATTTTTTTTTTATCTTTTTTGTTTTACAGCAGTTGTATCTCACATTAAAGTTAAAAATATGAAGGATTCATCAAAAAAAAAAAGAACAAAACACAGGGAAAAAAAAAATAAAAAAATATTAACAGCCGAAAAACAACAAACGGCTGCTGGAACAGCTGCCAAAAGCAGACACGACTCGCGCTCCTCTTCTCCCTTTTCTCCCTTCTGTGCCTTTTCCTCTCGCTCCAGCTGAAATGTGGATTGACGGAGACCCTCCAGGTAACTCCTTAATTTCCTGTCCTCCTTCCTCTGCACCACTGAGAAGAAAAAAAAAAAACAAGCCAAGCATTAAAGATGGCAGAAAAATGTAAAGAACAACTTGTAAATTAGCTGCTGAAGTGCATGCCCAGCATATTGGAAGTCCAGCTACAACTCCAGAGGAAAGGTGGTGTGATATTAATTTTCCCACTGCGGAGCTTCGACAGTATTCACGCCGTGCGCCTCACTAACACTGAAAGGTAGCGGCTCGGTTTGATCAATCTGTTACAGCGCGTCGACTGCAGAGAAAGGCGACGCGCTTCGTTTGTGAGGTCGTTTCTTTTTCCGGTGAATAAATTAAAAAGGACTATTTCGAGTCTTGAACCAGCTGCTTCTAAAGCTCCGCAGCTGGCTGTGGGTAATTCCTAAAAAATGTCACGGAAATAAAAACATCCAGGGAGCTTCATCTGAAAAGTGCACGCTCACAAATCTGGGAAATGTGTCAACAGTTAAGGGAAGCGATAGATAAAATCATCAATAGATGTTAGTTGGGGTGTTGATCTTCATTACCCTTGGTCAAATGTACTATTTAATTTGGTTATAAGATAAGATGGAACTTTATTGATCCCGCAGGCTCACTGCAGCCACAGACGAAAGGCAATGCCTCATTTGATTTGTTATTTTTAAAGTACAGTTCATATTCACAACATAAATCACTGATTTTTCCAGTTGTTGCAATGAATCATATATTTAATGCTCCACTGATGAAAATGTAAGTTTATTAGGGGCGATTTAAATTGAGCAAATTTATTTTTCCACCGATTGAAGATGAGGTTTATAGATTTCAGTTGTCATCAATCACTTTTAAAAAAACAACCTTAAACCCAACTTTGTCAAATACAGTTGCTTCCAAAAGCCTTCTGTGTTAAGGCTCCCACATACTCGGACGTACTTCACTCCGCAGACGTCCGGGCGTACTGGATTGGACTCCTAGTGGACGCCCTCAAGTCATGTCTGCGCGCAGATCAATTTTTACGACCGCATACGCGTACTCTGTGTCGCACAATAAACTGCCCGGCGACAGACTGTTTTGTATGCGACACCGATGTATTAAATTTTCCTTCATCCCTGATCTGGTTTATTGGCCTTTTGTTTTTTTTCCCAAGAGGGAAGCGATCTCTTCCTCCTTGTCCGTTGATGCTAGGCCTGTCACGATAACAAATTTTGCCGGGCAATTAATTGTCTCAAATTATTGCGATAAACGATAGTATCGTTTGAAATTTGACATTAGCAATTATTGTCAAATTTTAAAATAAATGTGGGTTAATTTTCGTGTGGTACCTTTATTGACCACCAGATGGCAGACTGTTTGAACCGAAGGATTCATGATGGTGAGGGAGCGAGCAGCGTGCATCTTTAAGAAAAATGGGAGGGAGGCCCCTTGACGTGACACGGGCCGTCTCTCGTCCTTGTTTTTCGGTTTACAAAATGGTGGACGCTCGGTTTGTTTTGAGCCCTTTAGATAACATTTTACACACAAAGCTTTTAATAAAAGAAAATCAGTAAACAAGTTCACAGCTTCTCAGCGTGAGGGACTGGAGATTTCCCGGTGGGCCGGTCTGATGTGTGGGCTACAGGGCAAGCGCTCCATTTTTGTTTAGTTTTTTTACTTTTCAACAACAAACACAGAAGACTGCTGCCTCTGGGCTGCCAGCTGCCTCTACCTCTCTTTATTTGGGCGACCTGTCAATCAACCCAGTAGGCGTGTCAGCAAATGACCAATCGGCAACCTCAATTTGTCCCAAAAGGTAAACGCCCCTTGCCTGCAGAGCTGGGCGGCAGCCCATCAGGGTACACTCGAGTATGAATTCTCAACCATCTGCCGACAGTGTTCACAGTGTCCGCGTGGCTCACGGAGTACACACAGTACGCCCGAGTATGTGGGAGCCTTCAGGAGTTTTGGTTCAACTTTGACGTGACGGTAGACGGCACCTGCTGACTGGTTAGTTAAGTTTACCAGTCAGATCAGAGTGTTTGTTTTGGAAGGGGAACACCTTCACTAGAATTTGATTTTACAGAAAATGTCTTAGCTAAGGACTTACCGAAGATTTTCCGAGGAAACTGTGTAAATGAGATCAGTTAGCTAGCACGCTAGCACTTTATCCATTCAGTGTTTCCCCTACAGTACTTGCCTTGGCAGGGCACTCATCTCTTCCGTGATTTTTGCCAAAGGACGGGAAGGCGGCGGGGGACTAAGACATGACTGTGTTTTGCACAGTTTGTATCAAAAGTTGTTTTTTGTGTGCGTGAGGGGGACGCAGCTAAGCGCGAGGGAATCGGAGCACTAGCTCTTGTCTTTTTAGCTAGCTCATCTGTGCACCACTAGCTTAGCGCTATGTCAGTTGCGGCAGTTGTCGACGGGGTTCTGTAGGCAGGGTGCTCGGTACTGTTGACAGGGCGGGGCGCCCTACTTGTATAACGGTAGAGTGAATGACATTTTTGCATATACAGAATAATTTTAAAAGTCTATTGTGAGGACATTTTTGTCACACCATAAAAAGCCCATTTTTTATAACGGCCAGAAAAATTATGGTATTCTGACATGTTCTGTTTTAATGCTCTCCTTAGTCAAACAGTGCTTCTATTTGTTGCATGTTTAATTGTTTTTATTAATTAGAATTTGGTGACTTGTGTGTTTGGAAGTATATTATGAAGTGGAGTTATAGAAGATGGCCAACAGCAGCAGTTTAAAACAAAAAAACTAATAAATCCATCACATTTGTTGCCCTGCAGCATAACTTCTAGTCGAGTTTAGCTTCTCCAGTCGTGTGTCAAGCTCCATTTCCCAATTTATTTTTGAATTTTTAGAATAACTCATAAGTGAGAAGCAAACAGTACAATACCTAAAAAAAAATAACAGTCATGCTCATTGACATTAAGTTACACAAATAATTGAATCTAAAAGTGGTAAAATAAAATAACTGTAAAAAGCACAATAAATGAATAAATTTCATTTAAACTGCTGTAAGCAATGGCGTCAGTACTTTGTGCATTTCACAGCTAGCATTAGGTTATCTCCAAATTATTGTCTCGTAAACATCGAGTAACACTTTTGTGATTCAGTCAAATATGACTTTAGAACTGTGTTTACGATACTTCATAGGTAAGCTAAAAACAGATTCAGTTGTTCCTCTGATGTTATTGCAATAAACACATTTTAAGTTAACAGGTCACATTTACACTTTGGTGCACTGTGGGGTCAAATATTAACTTCCTTTAAGTTAATCCAAAGTGTGTTTTCTTGAAAAGTCTACAACACTTAAAACAGGACGAGGCCATGTTTACACAAGAACAACCTCTGGAAACATTAGTGTTTTTTCAATGTTTACTGAGGGTAATAAACAAAAAAACAAACAAACAAAGAGACCAGATAAATTATGAACTATTATACTGTCGCTTTAAAATTATAGTTTTGCCTAAATTGTCATACGTGCTGAGTAAGCGTGTTGTAAGAGGAGGTGTGCGCCGTCTGTTGAACGTGTGTAAAAAGGAGGGGGTAAACAAGACTTTTTAAATTATCTTATCTGGCAACCCTGATGCCAGGCTCAGCTGCATTCATCACGCATGCAGTGTCTGCATGTTACACGTCTGCACAGTTACATCAATACACCAACGTCTCTTTGGAGCCTGGATTTTATTAAGTTTTGCTCCACAAACACAAAAACACTCTGCCATTTATTATAACTGTTGTTATTTATTATAACTGTTGTTAGTGCAGACAAACTTTGGACTGCAGTCGCCTGTACGACTGCACTTGTGGTGTATTTACACCGCCAAGGGGGGGTTCCCCTGAAAATCTCCACTCTGAGACCTGGATTCAGAAACGTTCGGTGTCTGTTGTCGTGTAAATGAACGGCTGAACCATTTCACTAAAAATAAAAAAAACGTCAGTGTTTCTGTTAATTTACTTGCCTTGGTAGGGAGCTCATATCGTGTGATTATTTTGTCAATGGGGGGAGGATAGAGACATGTCTGTGTTGCGCTCCGTTTGTTTCTTCGACCAGGCGGTGGGCAGCGGGACGGCTCAGCGTGAGGGGAAAAAGTGAAAACAGAGCGCTACTGCTAGCTAAGCACTAGATCAGTGCTGGTGGGGGGTGTTGGTTTGGCAACACCCAAGGCTGCATTTGCTAAACATTAAAAGCAGTTTTTCTATCGGCTGCTCCTGTCTGCAGAGGTGCCACAGCAAGCAATTTAAAAAAAAAATGACAATTGTTTTACGTCAGACGCCCTTCCTGATGGAACCTGGGCTCAAACCTACAGCGTCAGGATTACAGGACTTCAGCGCTGACCACCGAGCTATCGCAGCCCCCTACTAAATATAAGAAGTGGGGAACTCGAACTCTTCCAAACACTTTTCTAGTTCAAGTTAGCATTTATACCAACTGTTAAATGTGGATATTTTTAAGAATACTAATGTGCTTTGTAGAGCCCAACTGATATATTGGTAGGGCTGATAGTAGTTTGGTGACATATCTGTGTCAGTGATAATTAGCCCAATATGCACCAATAAACACTTAATCACCCTAAAATGCTGGGAACAAGCCGTGTCTTTACTTGCAAAAGGTGTAATTGTACAAAGTATCCAGCAGAGGGCGAATATGGATTACTTTCAAGTCATGGTCATGCTGCAAATCTGAGCACAGCCGATGCAGAG